AAAATCCATAAAAAGCCGAGTGGAGAGGCAACCGGGCGAACGAGCGGAGGTAATCAAGGTACAATTCATCAAGTAAATGTGCTCAGCAAAAAAGCAGTAGCGAGCGAGTTTGATATTAGCAAAAGCACGGCTGAGTTGCTCGGAGCATAGTTGAGCCGCATAATATAAGCAGTTTCGGAATACGCGTGGGCGCAACAGCTGTGGCCTCCGAGCGAGGCAAAGACGACGCCAACAACATTTGCTTGGTAATTATACGGAATAATATATGAAAAGTCTTTGACTGGCATCCGGCAACTGTTGCAAGTCGATTGAAAACAAAAGTCTTTCTCTGCTACTGCACGGTAACAGGAAGTCTGTCTCGATGATCAGCGCGAGCCGGCGACTGCTCTGAGAGCGCCGGAGCCAGCTTGAAGAAGCAAATGCGAACCGAGTTAGCAGCCGGTAGCGATGGCCAGGGCACGTCCGTTGGAGCGACCCGACTCCGTAGGCTTTTCGATTTGCGCAACAAGCCCATAAAGAAGCAGACAAGACGAGTTAAGGGAAACGTCTGGCAAGCGGAAGAGGAAGAAGCAGAGAGGCGTGGATTTGAGAAAGCGGGTCGACTGCGGGGCGGCTGAGCCGCGTAGATGGCGAAGAGGCACACGCGCTGCGCGGGGCACCGAGCCAGCCAGCCAGCCAGCCAGCCGCGGATTTCAGCAAGTCGAACGCGAGGAGCACCGAGTGGCGGCTCGCCTCATCGGCCAAGCCAGCGGAAGTGACGAGCTGGCGCCGCGCACGGATGAACTGCTGTCCTCGCGGCGCTCGCTCGGCCCCTTGCCGCCCGGGCCAATAGATTCGCCGCCGCGCCGTTCCCGGACAAATACACTTTAAATATGAAACAGTCAGGCGCAGGCATGCCGCTTGCTCGCGATCTCAACATCAGCTTCGACAGACGCTAACTTTTTTCGATCGACTCTCTGGCTCTTCTCGAAACTCCCAGATATATACGCGAGACCCAAGCCAACTTCTCTTCATCGCGAGCCATTGTTTCACCACGTAATTACATTCAATTATTTCAAAAACAGTGCTTTGCTTTCCAACTTCGGCCCGTGCCGTTGGCCTTCCAACAACTATCTAAATCTCATCTTTCATATATCTCAAACAAATCCGCGACCCATCGCAACAATTTTCTCCCGTGGATTCTTTCAAGGAGCCTTTGTTGCAAACATTTCTAAAACCATCGTGAACGCTGCTTCGTAGTCGTCAATGACACATGAGAGCAAAGCCTCACGGGGCTTTCCGGCTTTAGGTTATTGGCTTTTAGCTTTTAGGCCAATAACTCAAATTCCAAAATTGTATGGATCGTGAACCGACCAATCGATTCAGGATCATGTATTTGCCTTTAGCGACATCATAATTCCTCGTTTCGTTTCTCCACTTTTTCCAGTCCTAATTTTATCAAAAGAAAGTTCTTTTACGCTCACACGAATGTTCCCTATAAGTAGATTTATACGGAGTTTCATACCAATGCATGGCATAGAGAAAGTCTCGACAAGCACGAGAACATTCGAACGCAAGATCTTTTAAAAAACAGTTAACCCTTTATACAAGAAGATAATTAAACACACTTATTGTATAATTTATCAAGAAATTTTAAAGCTCGAATAATAGCAGAAAATGGTAGTTACATTATGCTTAATTGTCCTTGATTTATAAATTCCAGCGGATGGGACAGAGGCCTTCGTGTCCATGACTTGACAATTGATTGTTTTTTATTACCTTTCGCAATCTCGATCCACGTAGAAAAGCAACTTCGAGGGTCCTTATGAAATCGTGTTTCCTATCAATTAAAACAGTTATAATTGGTCGTCGAATAATCAAGAGGCTTCGTGTTGTACTTTAACAAGCTCTTGGATAAACGACCTGATTCAATACTTGGACTCGGTGACTATGGTCGTAAACTAATAACGAATAAGTACGAGAGCTACAAGCTACGAGTATAACTATACCACTAAATGCAAACGTTGCAATCCAGCAGGAAAACGAAGAAAATAAAGGAAGAAAGAGAGAAGGAGAGAGAGGATGGAGGATTGTCTGCCATCGAGAGAAGTGGTAGCTGATCCTCGATAGACTTAAGCAATAAACGGAGGAGCCTCGCGAGTGAGCTCGTAAATATTGCCTAGTGCTGATTGGGAAGTGAATCTTGGGAGCGACAGTCAGGCAAGAAAAAGGGTGTACAGCCGATACACTAATAACGCGATGGCGCTCAACTGATTCCCTCAACAATTTGGAAAACTTTCGACGAAGGTGCGCTCTACTTTTTCAATGTATCCACGCTCTTTTCTCTCTTTGCAATAAAGTATCGCCGCGAGTACCCATTGCGGCTCAATATCTGCGTGCCTCTATTTCTATACGTATATCTAGCTCGGCTGAAATTCCATTATGCCTGCTCCTATTTGCCACTTCGCATTTCAGCGACCCTCTTTGATTCTTCAATTTTTCTACTGAACTTTATCGAATGGCCCCGAGCTACATTGTTTCTTAAAAAACTTTCAGCTTCGATGTAGAATGCTCGTTAATCATTTTCCTCCGTTAACTCTTCTGCTATATTTCTTGTTTCGAAAAAGATGGATATCGAATTGTATAAAACTTCCAACTTTTTATTCATTCGAGGAAAAAATTAGCCTTTTGTACAATAAAAAAATTTAATCTAAGCAAACTATTTTCGGTACAAAATTACTGCTATGTAACAAGAATAATGATCTCTTACTACAAAAGGATAGCGTGCGGACAAATGTGCATGGTTTTATTATACACACAAATTATTGTGCACAGTACTGTAGCTTAAGAATTGACACACACTGATCCGTATTATGCTATTTTGCACAATAATTTATGTGTACAATAAAACCGTGCACAGTTGTCCACACGCCAAAAGGATTGCCCTCGCAACACAAGTTTTTCCTCTTATTACAAAAAAAAACATCGTTCTGCAGCTATATTAAGTGGAATATCAAATCTTCTTGTTACGATACAAAAGGATTGATTTTTCATTGCTTGAAACAGTTTTTTAATAGACCATTGAAAAAATCCTTATTACAACAAGATATCTTTTACTTTAAGAGTATTGAAACTGAAAATAGCCCCCAAACGCAAATTCCCTTGTAACAAGGACAATCTCTTTGCTATCTCCTTATTAGAAGATAATTTTTTCAAAATTATTGTCCCTTTATCAGGGTAAGTGTATCAGTTACAGTAATCGTAAGAGTTTTTTTGACTTTAGCTGATTATAAAAATTATAATAGCCATATTATAAGCAAACGAGTACATAGATCAACTCAAACAATACATATAAGACCTGCCGTAAATGAGCCGTATAAAGTAAATCCTTATTTCATCGGAGTGAATTATTTGTAATACTATAAAAATACTGTCAAAATTCAGCCTGTTGGAACCAATAACCATCATTTGTCTACTAAAAATGTATAAAACATTTTACTGAATCACATTTGCTGGATACCGGTGACTTCAGCGTTTTAAAACAGGACTGCAAGTACGGTGATATTGTGAACTGTTCATGTCTGGACAGGCGTTAAGTACGAATTTAGGCCACGCAGCGTCATGAAAAACTTGGCTAAGCCTTGCTTTTTTATATTTTCGAGAGAACTTTAAACAATTTATGATCGAGAATTTAAATGACATAGTGTCAATTTTTAACACTTGATTGACTTTGAGACCAGATAAAATATAACTTGAACAATAAAAAAAAAAAAAAAAAAAAAAACATGTAAAAACCAACTGATCGATGAAAAGCTGAGGTGATCGATGAAAAATGCAAGTAATATTCGTTCGTCATACGACGTGATTGAGCACAACGTTACGAGAGGACGCGCGTACAATTTTCCATTTTCATTAGCGAATCCTGGAATAAGAGAATGAAAAAAAGCTTATACATGCGATGCAAACGCGAGAGCGCTGCGGGCCTTAACAGGCCAATCGATCGGCAAGCTATGTGCACGCGGCCGCGCGAACGAGAAAATCGCAATAAAAATTTGCCTTCGGCCGTTCCTCACTGGCGGGCTAGCCACGTCATTGTCGATTAATCGACTTTGAAGCATCCTCCTAAAATCACAACGAGCACTCGGAAAAAAGCGGATTCGTCAAACCAAGGCTGAAGGGGAGCGGGGTGACGGCGCATACCCATTCCGTCCCTATCCGCAATGAAAACAGTCCGAAAACTGCGTGTACGCTCGTAAGCCCCGTCGATCTCGTTGTTTTTTTTTTTTTTTTTTTTTTTTTTTGCCCTCGCACTCCCGCGCGCCGCGCCACGGCAAACACGCGCTACGCCTACGCTGCCGCATGGCCCTGCGATCGCTTTGGCTATGAGAATATAGCTGCGATGCGATGGATGTGTGGATCGTGGCAGTGATTTTTCAAACGGGACAACGATCGCTTTCCCTAGCCGGCGACCTTAATGCCGACCTCGTTTTTCCAACTTTGCGGCTGCTTGCTTTTGAAAGCTAGACATTTCTCCCGAACTCGCCAGTTTCACGCCACTATAAATGAGAAATTATGGCGTGGCGCGAATATCGATGATTCAATCAGATCCTGAGTTTAACGCCTGCGAGCAACTTATTGAGAAGCCAAGTCTAAATATGTGTCGGCCTGCGTGCTCCAGCGGTTTTATATTTTTATGCGATTTCTCGGCATTCATAATGCATGACGCCACGAGGCCGCAACTCATCTCGCTCGTTGGGCTTCATATGCTCCGAGATACATCGACGATTATCTATTCCAAACGAACATCTGCTTAGCATAAATCAGCTATTGGATACCAGTTACGCAAATTTTTCTCTCGCCGACCAAAAGTCTCCTTGACAAATGGCCTTTGTTGCTTATCTATTCCGCGTGGCTGCTGTTCCATCTCACGTGCTCGACAAAATAAGCCTTTGATGATCTTTAAAGACTCGCCTCGTTGCACCTGCACGGCTGAGACACACACTTGCTACAAGTTTCTCAATCCGATTGTTTCTGCAACTTCGCTATAAGGCAATTTTTCATGAAAACCTGCCTGTCGTCTGTTTTGAAGGTAAGTTTCAAAGTAAATGTATATAAGCACAGGTGAGCGTGAATCCGAAAGCTTGTTATAAGCAATATCAGGCCACAAAGGTAAAAGTTGATGCGCCGTGAATTCCAATCTTGCGAAGTAAATCAAGACGAGAGAGAGAGAGAGAGAGGGAGTGCGAGGTCGCGAGTCGCAAGTTGTGTGAGTTACAACGCATGTTGGGAAGATTGCGCAGAAGGAAAGAATGGGCGAATGCGAGAGAGAGGGACAAAGTTAAGGGCCGGGACAGGATAGAGAGGGATGGAACGAGAGGAAGCGCGCGCTTATACAAGCTGTTCTAATGAGATAAGTTAGCTCTCGGCGTACTTTACTTTTAATATCCCTCCCATCTTGCTGGCCCTAAACGAGCCAACTTACGCGGTTCGACGTCTCTTCCTGATATTTTATCTTCCCAGAGCATTACCTATCTCAGCCCCCCCCCACACACACACCAATACCCCATCCGCCCATCGATCGCACGCGTTCGCAACACAATCTTTGTCTCCCCCAGTCCGCCTCCCGATTGCTCTCTCGCTTTCTTTAGCTTCTTGCACTTGTACGTAATTCATATTTGTAGCGTCCTCATCGCCATTCCAAACGCGCCGGCTTTCGTATATCACGATGCTTATTCGAAGCAGATTTGATCGATCGACGATACTGATCAAACGTCATCATTGACTCCCTTGCTTCGTAGCTCTCCGCTCTCCAGCAAATCACTGCATCCAATTGATTCTCGCTACTTTTTTACGCTAATCCACTGATTTTTACCCTGCTCGCGGTATACCACGATAGTCACGCGGGGCTAGCCCTTGGAGCAGTCGGCGGAAACAGAGCGGTACTCTGATAATCACCGATGAGCATCGTTTCCCGTGGCGCACGAGCAATTTCAACGTGATTTCAAAGGGTTCGTTCTGGTCATTAAAATTGTTGGATAATAAGTAGGATGGGATTGCGGAAGGCAGGACGGTACACAACGGAGAGTCGCCAAAAGTTGATCTTTCAGCCTTGGGGCCGCCGCCGAGACAGAAGAGGAGCGGCGGCAGCGGCGCAGCTCGGCTAATGCGAATAAATGCGTTAACTGCGAGGATACTGGAGGAAGCGGCAGGCAGCGTCAGATCCGCATCGACTGCTTAGTGCGCAGCTTAATGGCTATGCAGCCTGTATGGGCGAGCCATTAGGCCTCGCTAATAAGCCACATTGTTGTTGGTGGCAATGCGCTGACGTGGCTAACTGACGAAGGATAATCTAACGCGCCGGCGCCTCGCACTGAGTTTGTAAAATGCCTCCCGAAAGCTGCTCCGGACGGCACGCGGCTATTATGTAGTACAAGGCGCCACGCATTTTATCCGTCCGAGCCGCGGGCTTGTCGCTTATTAAATGCTCCCTCGGATCGCTCTGCCCCTTCTCCTGCTTCTTCGGCGCGGGGATACTCTTACTGCGCTTCATTGTTATTGATAACGGACCCAATTATTTGCCGTCATTTCATTCATCTTACACCGTATGATAAAGCCAGCAGTCGTCTCATGTCAGTAACAGTGTGCGACAGCATAACTTCGTTATTAAACGCTCATCTTTGCAAGACATTTTATAAGTAATGGCGTTGTCGTTTCAACGAGGTTGCCCTAATCATCGAGTCTTCTCGAGCTTCATGAGCTTTCGGTCGTTCAATTCCGTTTTCTCGCCTTTGTTTCACTGTTTCTAATAATTTTTCGCCTGTCCGACCAAACTTTCCAACTTCCAAATGCTGATTCAGAAGTTCTAGAACACCCGATAAAGTTTAACTCTTCTCAGCGAATCGCGACATTATTAAAGTAATTGAGAGACGAGAGCTGCCGATAATTACAAATGTTCATTAGCTTAGTAGAATCTACTTTTACAAGAGTTTTGGAAACACCAACACAAGCATTATTGTTTTATTCTTTTTATTTGGTTTTTATATTCTATCGGTTTATGATACAAATAAAAGTTGTGTCAACGGTAATATAATTTTTTCCTTTGAACATTTTTTCGTAAGTGATGCCTTACTTTTTGTTATAACGTCATTACAATAATGAGATAGCAATGTGACGTCGTCACAAGCATTTGCGTCATCACCACCGTATTTACGACTTCCAAAGCACACTGTGTCTATTTCCAAATCGTATTTATTACTAAATTTTGCTTTATTCTGCTACTACTAATATTAAATCAATATCTCTTTGTTTAAAGATATAAATGTTTATTCAATTCAATCGACAAATATATTCCTCTTTTCTTCCTCCTACTTTATTGTCATAAACAGGCATAAACTATTCAAGTTCACAATTGCAGAAGATTTTTGGGTATATTAAATCATTTACGTCTAATAAAAGTATAATTCTTGACGTACATAAGAACATTAAGAATTCTAAAATTTGATGATTTGATGATTGGCTTCTTGTATTATCAGTAGTGTATTATCGTGCTTCGTCAGCCAGTCAGTTGAAATTTTCGTGAGTATAGGTTGTGCAAACAACTACTACTTTAGCACAAGTATCGTATCTACCGAAATCTTCTAAGTGTTACCATCGCCAACGGAATAAAACCAATCAACTCTTATCTCGCTTAGCAGTTTGTATTTTTACGCTAATAACGACAAGTCCAAAGTGAGCAATTCTCTTTTGTAAACGTAAGTTACGTAATTTTATATTTAATCTTATACATACAGTACAACTTTATACATTAACTCTTAATTTGTCTTTGATATAAGCTATAACTTTCATATAAAACTACGGAAATGTAAACGGGACTCGTTGCTAGTAGTAGTTACTATATACTTATTGCGTTCTCCTAAAAGTAGCATATGCATGTTAGAAACTGCCGAATAGCTATAATATGAAAAATTGATAAATAGGCACTTCAACAAATTGCTTTTCTAAATTTCGTATGAAGTATTAATTAGGATGTGGCGATAGTATGCGCAAATAGTATAGATGATCAATTAAATGAAATTTAACAAATTTAACATACATTTACAGCGGGACATGAGATACACTATGATATTGTTGGCCCTGATGCACATGATTTTAATAAGTGTATGCGACGCAGGAAAACAGCGTATCGTTATCATCGGTGGCCCCGTCCCGGGAGATCACCTGTTGCAACGAGAAGTCATCAAACGGGACTGGTGCTGGTTTTGCAGAGCCAGAAGGGTGACTCTCTTAGGTGATGGCTTCTCTAAAATCACCATGATCAAAGTGTCCAACCAAGCGCAACGCAACAACAGAGCTGACGCTTTACTGAAAGGTGGTGGACTTGGTCGGACTTGGGTCACCTTCGCATTCAAGAGTCACATAAATAATCCCATCCACTTTATTGTCGAGACTTACGGAAAGTAATAAATTCATTACACAAGCAACCGTTCAACTTTGACTTAAAAACACTCATTTAAACACTCATTTCAATCATTGTACAAATACAAATTTATTCAATCGAATATAATATAAAATCAAAGTATACATACCTAATTATTTTGTTTAGTTTTTAGTTTTCATAAAAGTCTTAATAATTTTGTCGCTAACTGTTCTTTCGTCGTTATTTTTTCAAACTCTACTGCAATACTTTTACCTTGTTCAAGGCTCAGGGACTTTCTACATAAGGGGATTATTAGACGCGCACCATGGTGAAAAAATATTGTCAAAAGATATTTTTTTGTACTAATAATTCATTCTATTACGGCATCGTTTTTAAATAATCAGGCAATCAATGAAAACGAATGTAATGTCTCAACTTTGCAGTTGAGACGTTATTTGTATTATAAATATTCCCTTGGTACATACAGTATATGTTTAGTGACAGAGCTTACCTGGTAGAATTATTTATATATCCTTCTTGCTGTGCTACTTAGCTCTGTTTGGTTCTTGCGTATTTATTAAACTTAACAAATAATGTTGACACTATCAAAATTTTATACTTTTAATATAGATATTTATTGAAATTAATAAGCTACCATTATCTTATAAGTTTGAAAGTTTGGTAAATACACTTTCTATCTAATTGATTTAACTCCAATTAGCTGTATAGTTATCACGCGTCGCAAATCAACTGCCAAAAAATTTTCCGTCGACATCCTACTGAGATCAACGATCTAGCTACGAAGGTGTTATCATCTGTGATGTAATTTTTAAATAAACAATCGATCGGAACGAGGCCGCAAATGTATTCACAATTTGTGAACGACGAACTCAACAAAAATTTATGGAGGCCAAATATCGAAGAGCTCAGCGAGAAATACATTTTCAGCAGTTAATTCAGGCTTATAAAGTACGATGCTTACTTAATTAATTTGAACAAATATCGTAACTGTATATATAAAATTTAAAGAATGTGAATATTATTTCACAACTTGACTAAATATGCAAAAACCAAAGAGAGCCAAAAGGAAACATAAATACAACTATATAAAGGGAAAATTTACAATACGAATAACGCGTCGGCTACGAAGTTTAGACATTGTAATATATTTTTTATTTTGCTGGTATCCTGCGCAATGACGGATACACCCAAACGGATGAAGGAACTCGAAAAAATTATTGAAAAATTGCGAATGATTGGCATAAATAGCAAAAGTATTTGCATAATTTAGTTTTTGTTTATAAAAAATTCAAAAAGTTAAACACTCTCAAAAAATCACATACAATTTTTCTTTCCAATCAAAATATTATCATAATCATCCGTTAAAGAGGAAAAACATTATTTCTCATTACAGCGATACATACACTGAAAGATTAATCAGTATGACACAGATCTATACTTTTATAGGACAATAGCTTCTCAAGAGGTATTACGTCTTTATAATAAGAACTTCGTTACTAAGACTGAGTTATTTTCTGAAATGACGGTCAATATTAGCTATTTGTTAGAAGTGAATTTTTTAACCCAGATTTACTCAAAATTATTAGTCATTGGTATAATAATCCATCCCTATTAGAACATCTTTTACACTGGTATTCGTGGACATTGCTAGATATTTGAAAAGTAATCCATGCTTATGGGTATAGTCCTTTTCAGAGTGCAATACTTCTTGTGTTTACGTTACCTACTGAGATTCAAGTCTGTGTATCGCCGTAATGAGAAATAATATTTATTTCATTATAACGGATGGTTATAATGATATTTTAATCGGATAGAAAAATTGCGCATGACTTTTGCTAACGATTCACTGCTTCGTCACATTCGTTGCTATAAAAACCATATTAAAACGGTACGCAGATTAACTTTCCATTGATCTAAAAGTGTTCAACTTTTGAACTTTTTTTCAAAGAAAATCTTCATTGCGTCAAATTATTAATGAGTTTTGATATCTTTGCCAACCACGCGCAATTTTTCTACAATAAGTCCAACTTATTTTTCGTCAATTTTCCGCCACATTCTTTCATCCACCTAAATCTAAAACAATTAGTTTTTCACCTTTATTATCTCGGTACACGTCCAATGTCTTCATGTGTATGTAGAAAACATTTTGACACTTTCTTTAACCTAATTCATCACGATAAATTGAGCAGAAGTTAATTCAAGGTTTACTTATATCGGTACTCTATGAAACCCCCACTCCCTCGTTCTTTTCTCTTTCATTGCAAGCATATTTTATCGTTTTATTTGTATTTCACGAATTTGACTATTTTTATAGAAACATAAGCACTTTTTAAAAATTCTTGAAATCTACCAATCATCGACTTGAAAATCATCCGAATTTAAAAATGATCAAAACATGAGGCAGTTTTATTAAGAATTATGAAAGTTGCAATTTGGCAAACCTTGCAAAAATAGGTAGAATGTATATAGAAGATATTAAAAATCTTTTGGATGATGTTAAAGTTAATTACAAATATAAAAAAAATCATATAACTATAATTTGTGTAGAAATTATTAATACATAGAAAAAGTTAGCAGGTAATTTGAGAGAGTGATTATTTAACAGATATCTGGAGGCTATTATTTTTGAATTTAATTTTAGTAACCGATGATTAAAATTCAAAAACTACTTACATGCAAGAACTCGTGCCAATGCTTTATAGCATTATAAAAAAGTATGACTACAAAAGAAGTTCTTAAATATACAATCTCTTCTTAAAATGTGTGTGCAGCAAATTGAAATAATCATTGTTCTTGAACTGAAGAACTGCAAAAATGTTGTTAAAATAAAAAGGCTGCTTTAAGAATAGAGCGTGACAACTTTGAAAACACTGTTGCTATTTAAATTAAAAATATCTTGAATATTTAGCGTAGCATAGGTTGAAAGTTGCTAAATATAAATGAAGCGAAAGATTAAATCGTGGAATGTAATGCTCTGCCAATAGAAGATTAACGCGCTCTTGCAAACTGACAGCAAAAAAAGCACTTTCAGCGCCGGGCATTGTAGTATTTTGTCCGTGTGCGTCGAATATTTGTGGAGCGAGTACGAAAGCGCGAATGTTCAGGCGGGGCTTGCGAATGCTGGCGGTGTTGCGTGTTAAAACGATTACTCGATGTTGAAACCATGCGCACTTGTTTCGCAGGTATATGTATATGTGAGAAAAGAGAATTTTGCCGAGTGCTACAGACACGTATAGATGTATTTATAGAGTGCGAGTGTCTCGCTGCTGCTGTACAGACTCGCTTCGATAAATCGCCTCAACGAGCCTGCATTGCAATGTATTGTCTGGCTCGCGTTCGCGCGTGTTCGCCTAAGCCCATAAAGCTTTTAGACTTTCATAAAAAGCTACTCGATGACTGTTTGACTCGCGCTCTATGTACCAAAATTCCTCGAGTTTTAGCCGACTACCGCAGCAAAGTCGGCTAATGTTTGCTCGAGACTCCAAGGGAATCGTCATCGCATCTATGCGCGCACAGCATTTCGAAGGAGCCGCGCGATCTCTCGGACACTCGTGCTCGCTGATGGATAGTCAAATTTAGACGAGCGCAAGAGCGGATTTGTGGGAGTTCTGACGCGTTAATTACATCGGACCGTCGGAGTAAACAGTGAACGACAAAAGCGAGCCGGCCAGCATCGCGACATCTGTTCGCAATTGTTAACACTGACGCTGCATCCTTTCCCAAGAGGCTGCTTCTCCTCGTCGCCCTCGTGGCTGTTCCTATGTACGCGCGCGCCTGCGTATCTGTGTTTGAACAACTGCGGTCGTAAATTAAGCACTCGGCTCCTGCTAATTTCGTTCTCATTGTGACAACTTGCCGCTTTTTCAGTTTCGCGCCTGGCTTCACGGCTAAGAGTCAAAGTGCGATCAGCTGACGGAATGCCAATGCCAACGAGTCGAGCCAACGTGAACTTTGAAGAGTGCACGCGGACTCCGGACTTGACAGCCAATGAGACGTGGTCGAAACGGAGGCCGTCGAGAGAGCTTTCGCTATAGGTATGAGCGCGTGCGGCGATAATGTTAGGCGGGCAAGCCGCTGAAAAGCTGCACTCGAGCTCAGAGTGACGTGAAATGACGCTGGCGCATTAGCCGAAGAGAGAATTGGCATATTGCACCCCCCCCCCCCTCCCCAACCACCCGCCTCGTTTGATGGCGCGCCGGCGCATCGCACAGCCAGCTGCGCGCCCCCAAATTCACGAATATACTTATATAAAATGAAATTAACGAGCGAACGAGTTGGTGCGCCCGGCTTATGCCATTTAAATGTAGATCCGATCGAGCACTCATTTACACGCGGCTTCGCTCGCGACTTCTTTTTTTTTCCCCGTTTTACCCTCGTGTCTTTCGCCAAACGCGTAAACTCTTGTTATTTCTATTTCTTGCGATTCTTTATCAGCGAGTTGGCCTCCATGCGAGATCGTAGCTGCGCAGCTGTTCTATTGCTATTTTCGCAATTGTCGGCTGCGACGGCGACGACAGTGACGACGGCGGCCACGGTGCCGAGCGAGAAGATGAAGAATCGCCGCGCGCGAGCGTAAGCATTGCAACACGCAGCGCCGGAAATCCGGGGGAGCGCGCGAACAGCCAGCGCCACGTTTCCCAAGCTGCGGCCAATATTTGCCTCCGCGCACGACGTTTTTTGCGCTATTTCCCGTGTACGTGTATGCTGGCCGGCGCTGTGTACTGCTCCCAGTTGACGCTCAAGCGCCAAAGCTCCTATACCCCTTTTCATGCGGCGCGCTTTTTTTCCGGCGCTCGCTCACAGCGATTCGCACACTACACGCTCGTCGATTCCAAAGATAGATTTGCCGAATGAGTCTCGCTGAATTTCGAAAATACGCCTCGCTAACTCGCGTTCTCGATAGGCCTCCCCCCCCCCCTCTCTGTGTATCCAATACTCAACGCTCACTGATCAAATACAAACAGCTCCAACTTTTTGTCGAACGTTCTTTGTTCTAGGTATTTGTTCGCCTGTGCATCTTTGCAACGAGTGCTG